TTCGCGCCCCGGAGGCCCGCGCAGCCCTCGGTGGGGGTGGAAGTGGGCGTGAGGACACTGTCCGCCGCAGCGCGATTGACGCCCGGTGGTCCAGGTGCGCGCGAAGCAGGCCTGGCGCAAACCCTCCCCTGTAACAGGCATGCTCGGGCCTGTGCAAGAAAGGAGGAGGGTCCGCAGAACCAGCGCGTGCTGACTTTGCAGGGAGGGGGTCCGAGAGAGTCTGGACTTGGCCTCAGCCTTCTCATCTTCTGGATGTTCGTCTTCTCCAAAGCTCCCCCCGCCCCCCACATGCCTGCCCCTTGTCCCACCCACTCCTTCACCCCCTCCTCTTTCCGTACTCAAAGTCTAACCCACAGGCCATTGCCGACCCTCTGACCTTGCCACACAATCATCACTTTATTTCCCAGCGAGACCTCCCCTCCCCGCCTAGCTCATGCATGGCAGTCATTGCTATTAGTGTGCTGTGGTCTCTGTTATAAGCACTTGGAAGACATCAGGTCTCCTGTTTCTTATGTAGCTTCTTGATCCGGTGCTAGGCACGCTGGAGGGATTCCATACCTGGGGACGGATTGCAAGTCTGGGAGCCGGGATTTTCCCTTTACAGGTCGCAGTGGCCATTTGGGCCACAGGGAGAGTGACTCCCTTTTCAACAAATGCATTCAATACAGCAGATGCCTCAGTGTCTCTCAATCAAGGCTGGCTGCGCTCCTGAATCTTCATATAGCTTAGATCAAGTCTGTTGACAATTGAGAAAAATTCTGGGGATTTTTTTTTTTTTTTTGGCCAGCTGGCAAGATGCTACCCTATACTTAATGAGGTCATGGAATTAATAAGTGGTCTGTGGCCAACCTTCAATGCTCCAACTTCCACCCTCAAGAAAAAATATATATATACATATATATATAATGCCTACCAAGGATCAGGGCCCAATGAAAACAAACTCCCAACAAAATGCCAAACTCACTGTGGTCCAGTGGATTCTGACTTAAAGTGGCCCTACAGGATAGGGTAGAACTGCTTCTGCGGGTTTCCTAGCCTATAACTCTTTATGGGAGTAGAAAGCTCCATATTTCTCCCCTGGAGCAGGTGGTGGTTTTGAACTGCTGACCTTGTGGTTAGCAGCCCATCGAGTTGCCAGAGCTCATCTAGTGAAAGCAAGGGCGAGCTAAGCAAAAATTTAAAATGCCTCTTTCAAGTGCCCGATCACTGCCTTTGGAAACATTTCTTGGGCATCTACCGCCATCTAAAGGAAGGAGTGGAAAAGAAGACGGAGTCTCACGCCCAGTATGTGAACAACTTAGCGGCAAGCCAAACAATATTTGGGGTTGATTTTTCTCTTTTTTTTGCAGCGGCTTCCATTAAAAAAAATTTTTTTAATCATAAATTACCATAGTTAATGTAAACCTCAAGACATAACCGCAAGCTTTTGGCACCAATTTCAACTCCCCTGGCTAACCTCCTCAGCGTTTCTAGGGGAGAACTCGGAATTGTACTGGTTTTCAGTTCCGTGAAGTTACCACATAAACCAGTGAGTGAGAAGATACAGAGAGAAACCAAAAGTGGATGGGCAGCCCCGACAAATTACAGCCACTCTCTCAGTTGCCCCTGATTTCACAAGTAGGGATCTCCCGGCTGAGAGGCCTCTAAACAGGCCAAAAGCCTGCTCCAAAGGCAGAACAGATTCCATCTCTACCGTGGCCCTTCCTAAGGCGGGTGTCACGCCAAAATTCTGTAACACAGCAGGTATTCCTATAAAAGCTTCGCTTTTTAGTGGAAACATGCTAACACTGCTAATATCACAGATACTAAAACATCAGGCATCCTGCATAAACTGTCAACAGGCTAATATGTTTTATCTTCTCATCCAAATCCTACTTGAAATACCCCAGGGTGGGTTATCTTATATAACCATCCTTGTTATCATCTGTAACTATCTTGGGCCATCCCCAAGACCATTTGCCTGTCAGACCATTGTGTCCCGAAAGGTATTCATTGGCTGGTTTCTAGAAAGAGATGGCCAAGCCTTTCTTCCAAAGCACCTCTGGGTGACTTCAAACTTCTAACCTTTCAGGTGGTGGACGAGCAGCCATTTGTACCACGTTCAGCAGAGTGGGTACATGTTGGGCTGCGGTCAACAAGTTTGAAATCATCAGCTGCTCTGTGGGGAAAAGACTGTAACAGAGTCTCCTAAACTCCCAGGGGGGAGTTCTAGCCTGTCCTATTGGGTCGCTGTGAGTCGACACAGACTCCGCAGCCGTGCTTTTGTTTTGTTTTGACATTTCAAATGAACACTATGCTGGCATGGAAGACGGTAAATATGCATGTCCTACGGAAGCCCAAGGGCAAAGTATTGATTGGAGAGGTAAGTGGAGAGAGAGTTTGGGACATGTAAAGTGGGGGAAGTAGTGGCATCATTCTGAGAGGCCGTACCAACTTTGGGATAGGAGGGGCCAGCCTGATATAAAGAACCCGTTTGTTCGTATCTTACAGGAAAGCACCTTCCACTGGAGCAGGTCCAAACCAGCGAGGGTTTGGACACTGCGCATGAAATATCAATAAAATGTAGAGAATTGTTTGGTGCGGCAGGCCTTGGTTGGAAGCCAAATATCACAGCTGCCCTTTAAGGGGGTGTGGAGAGAGGGGATTTGCAATGGAAATGATTCCCAAGTCATAAACCTAGTGGATGCTGGTTACAAGAAGTCCAAGGAGACTCACTTGGCTGTTGGGAAAGAATGGCCCATGTCCTTACATATTGCACAATTCCTCAGGGGAAGGTACATCGCCACGCACGCATATCACATCACACACACACACACAGATAGAAAATATCTATTTATGACTTTAAAGATTCTCAAACTCCGCTAGCACCAGTGCACAAAGATCTATGTGAATGCATCTTCATTGCTGCTCCAGTGACATCAGAAAGAGACCAAGAAACTGGAAAGGGCCCACCTGTGTATCCCTGAGGATGCTTTCCTTGAGGCACACCCACATCAGACTATGCACAATCTGGTCGTTGAAAAGAAGCGAGAGAAACCCCTCAGGACCAATCATGAGAGTAGTGTAGCGATACCAGGAAGGTAAGGAGAAGGTGGGGGGAGAAAGGGGGAACCGATCACAATGATCTACCTATGACCCCTTCCCAGGGGGACCACAGCAGAAAAGTGGGTGAAGGGAGACATCGGACAGTGTAAGACATGAAAAAATAATAATTTACAAATTACCAAGAGTTCGGGAGGGAGGGTGGGAGAAAGGGGGTGGGGATGAGGAGCTGATACCAACGGCTCAAGTAGAAAGAAAATGTTTTGAAAATGATGAGGGCAACAAATGTACAAATGTGCTTTGACATAATGGATTGTGATGAGCATTGTATGAGCCCCCAATAAGAATGATTTTTAAAAAGGAAAGAAGTGAGAGAAACCAAAAAGAGAAGAAGTGAGGAACTGTGTCGGCACACGTCTGACTGAGAGGGGATTTAGCACAAGAGAAGGGTCAGCGAAGAACAGGGCATCCTAGGCTACCCTTTGTCATTTTCCAAGTGGGGTAAGAAATGCACAAGTGCAATGGTCCTACGTCTGTAAAGGACAGCTAGGAGAACGCCTGAGAAACAGTCACAGGTCGGTTGGGGTAGGGAATTGAGGGACTGGGAATACACCTGGGAAATTTGTGGAGGCCTCATTCTACTTCAATCAGAAAGCACTTTGAATTTGTTGTTGTTGTTGTTGCTTTTAAAGAACTTCATCAGAGGATAAGTGGGCAAAGAAATAGTTCAAATTCAGCGGAATGTCTCAGGTTAAAGAGGGAAATGTCTGATGTGGCAACAACAATTCAACATTCGGAATAACAAAGCTGTTAGTAGAAACTGAACATGCTGATGGTAAAAAATCTTCCCAGTCCACATAGTTCACGTAATAATGGATTTCAATGCAAAGGAAAAATTGAGCCTATGTTTCAGGAATGTCTGAGGAATTCCCACTAAAAGATGTCACCTATAAGTTAAACTATAATTTTCACATCTGTGTTCTCTCTTCCTTTTCCAGAAACTGATGTCCTGGAGCAGATTCACTGAGTGAAATAAAATATGGAGATGAAAAAAATTAATTATTATTATTTGTTGCTGCTGCTGCTGCTGCTGAGACCATACCAGCAAAACCTCTAATGGTTCAACAGTTCCTACGTGTCCAACTCAGCGACGGTAACTACACCTTTCCTTTCCTGAGCTGGTCCTTTCCCGTTCACATACACTCACGGGCCCCCAAGATTCCACATTCACGTTTGAGTTGCTGTTGTCAATTTGATCTGGAAAGAGTGGGCCTTCAGGCAGGCATTCTTGACTCGTTCATCTAAGCTATAGTGTGCTTTTCCGAAGACTTCAGGGGATAGTGTTAGTGTGAGATTTAAAAGTTACCAAATAGTTTCAGGGGGGTCACCCAGACTCCTGGCTTC